AAAAACGGTACCGTTTCTTCTGTCCATCCAGGTTTCACAGCGAGAGAAAATACGTATGCACTCACTGCAGGAAGCCAATTTGTCTTGGATGTACCAGAAAAATCTGTGCAACTTGAAAAGGAATATTACCATACTAACCTAATTATACAATTCAGGTTCTTGTTTCAAGTTCAGAAATTTCCTAAAAAGAACTATATGTATTCTTTTTGAACCGTATTTGCGAGATAAAATTATCAGTATACCTTCATGAATCATTTTTTCTGTGAAAATTTCTGAGAAGTAATTCCAAAAACATAAATACTACGAGTGCAGCATTCAGATTGCAATTATTTCAATACCCATACCTCAATCAACCCCATGTTATGGTCAAAGTTTGTGAGACACCTTATTAGTCGTAGAAAAATAATCAAATCAGTGGTGACGGGTTAATTTCAACGCCAATAACTAAAATTCGATCCAAATGAGTAGAAGGGATAACTATATCTAGTGTTCGTATGATCTCTGCCTATATGAAGTCCTATTAAACAAGTTGAGTATTCAGCAGCAGAAGTTTCAGAACGTGGACTCTGTCACCTAACCAATTCCAGTGCTCATACTTGTGCGCCATCTTCTGGAATTGAGCTAGTCTACTCCTGAGCCACACTTTCTGACATCAAGATTGATAGCCTCACGTAGTAGACGTGATCGCCTGGCAAACAACGCCAATCTAGCTGCAAAACGTGCCAACCTTCTGGATTGGCTGCTTATTGCCTCCCTATTAGTCATAGGAAGAGGCTCGACACGAAGGATTGATACGACGTATGAGACACATCATCCGTCGGGAGTAGGCTGGTCGACATATACAGGGCGATTCGATGATATTGCACATGAATAAAGTCAAAGTACAGTCGTATTCAATAAAATAGCGTACAAGTATTAAAAAGAGAGGATTTCGGGATCCTAGTTCTAGTTGTGTTAAACTGGCTCAGACAACGCTTTGTGTTTTTGAGAACCTATGACAACTCTACTGTCAACATTTGGTAAACAATCATTCTCGATATCCCGTTTCATGCAAAATAGGGTAACGTTAATTTTTCTCTGTAATATACTTGTACGCTTTTTTTATGCGACTGTACTTTTCCTACACTGAGAGAAAACTTGAGTTATCATAATTGGAAATCTGATAACCGTTATTACGATATCTGCAATAAATAGGGGACAGATGTGTTCATTTGCTACCATAGATGAAGTGAATTTTCAGGTGACTTGTAGTTATGGCAGCTTATTCAATTTGAAAACTTGTATAAAAACACCGCTGCTGAATAACTACTACTTGTTCTAGTTTCTATGATAACACAGAATGTCGAATAGGGATTATTCCCATAAAATGTTGCAGTAACTCTCCACTCTACAGTGGTTATCAGACTATAGACATGAAATCTCATGATTTTATTACTGGCACAACCATCTTGAGGTAACGCAGTAATACGTCTCATTTTATTATAGTTATCTGATATCTGCATGAAACCTGACATTTTGACATGCTATTGTGATTTTCAACAGTTATCCCAATATTTTTCTACTCTAGTATACTCATCAAACAGTGGTAATAAGGTTATTTAATGAACATTATTCGATGGTATGCATTATGGAACCGTGCTTTGAATTACTGCAATGGAAATAAATATCCTATCCACACTATCACTTTTCATGATCCAAAGTTATTTTCTTCAAAAAAACAAAAAAATACGTTTAGTCTCTGAATTGAAATATTTGGGTATCTGTGGAAGTTTTTTGACATTACTCATTGATTTTTTCGGAGAAATATCATCTATATGCATTACTGACGAGTTCATCAAGAAATGAGAAGCTGAATACTTATATTTACCCTTCCTTCGGAGTTATGATGAGAATTGTCAATAAAACTTCCTTCACAGAAACCCAGATATTTTGATTCAGAATCTCATCGATCATTTTGTTTTTGAAATAAACCAATTTTAGGCCGTGGAAAGTGGGTATGGAGAATACTTTTTCCATTGCAATAATGCAATGCACGGTGTATTCCACAGATCGGTTCACAGCCAGCACTAAAACAAATTTTTGCTACATCACAGACATTCACCTACAAGACACGGCTCTATCGATTCGGACGATCGAAACCATTGAACAATAATTGAACACGGGCACCCATGACCGAGAGCAGCAGTGAAATGAACGCGATCTGTATCTTTGTCAGCTCCAATACTAATGAAACACTAGAGCGAAATGAGCCGAAATAAGATTGTCGAATGATTGCCTAATAACCGTCATACATGTGAATTGCTAGAGTTATTCGTCAACGTACAATGCTAGAAACCCAAACAGCTATGATTATTGGGACAAACATTATCTGAATTCACCAATGAGCATAATTCACAAAACGAGCTATGCCAATAAAAAATCCAAATAGACTGGAATTTATAAAATTCTCATAATGTCACAACACACCTGCGTTATTATGGTAGCAAATGTCCATTCAAGGGTATTAAAAATGATTTAAGAAATCGATTTTCATAATTACAGAATGGAGAGAATACTGTTGTATTAATAAAATGATCAGGAATAGGAGATTTCCTCATAATGGTTATTACAATCAGACCTGGTAGATATTTTTAATATCCAGTTTCTCTCAGTGTAGTGACGCAAAAGTTGAGGAGAAAAACTCCTTCAAAATCTTCACCAATTATGACTTTTGAGGGAATAAATTCCATACAGAACATTACTTATTCATAGTAGAGAATGCTCACAAAAGCTGTTTTCTATGCGATTAATTTCCAGAAGTATTCGCAACAAACGATTTTTTAGCCTTAACTGAATTCAGCCTCGGCAGTCAATCTAATACTTTGCTGCCTAGTTAAACAAATAACTATTTTCTGACTTCATACACAACCATAATATCCACATGCGTCTAGAGGTCGAATTACACACCGGGGTGGGAAGTGATTCATTCCTGGCGTGAGATTAGTTAGTTAACCGAAACGCAAAGCGTCGAAGTTAGCTATAATTTCGAGACAGGAATGAAACTTCCTACCGAGGTTTGTATACTATTTCATTCACAACCATCATATTTCGATCAAAATTAATAAATCTATGTTTCGTTCTGAACATACCTGAATCATTACATGAGTGAGGCCGAGAAGTAGAGGTGTGTAATGTGACACTTCCCAACCTTCCCAATGACGTTAGTAATGGCAACATTACATATATGGTTGTAAATAAACTATTATTTCGTACTCGAAAACAGCCCAAGACGATAGCAAATTTGTCATATGAAAAAAGAAACCAATGATGTAACATCAGAATCTTTCCACCATGGACAACGATAGATGTACATCATTCCATGAATTTTGACTAGGTAATATACATTTGGCACAAGGTACACTGAATCTTGCAATTGAGTACCTATGCAGTGATATCGAATCTTGTTCAAACATTATTCAGTTGTTGGCTGGTGGGGATTCAACCAAAACAAATAGTGTCGAATACATATTTTGAGCAGTAACACAGCAAACCGAGGTAAATCCCTGCGCTATATTACATGTATAATCCTCTGGAACAACAAAGTTTGTATGTGTAAGTATAGCATGTATACCCCGAACTAGAAGGCCTTTCTCTGTCTATATTACGAGGTAGTAGGATACAGAGATTCTGACATTTCAAAAACTCTACGGAAACTACGGGAAGTAGAACTTTGGTCGTTATATATTCTTCCTGGCTTTGCTCTGATGCAAACAAATAAGGGTTGAGAAATATTGCACTTTTGAAACAACGATCCTGAACTTTGACATTAGATCGCGGTAATATGAATTAACTATACCTTCTGCATTATAGAAAATATGATACAAATAAGTTGAGTATAGGTTGACATGCTAATTCATTATTATGATACAAATTTTACTGAAATATTATTATCCATATTCATTTTCGTCACATGATTCTATTCTCGGTCACTATTGACAAAAGAAGTTTGTTATCAGTTAGAAATCATTCTATTTGTTTCAATATCAAAATGAGGATCCTTGATTCATTCAGAAAGGAATATACCCAACCTTTGAAACATGATGATTTTTTTTTCTGTTCGTTAAACTTTTTTGGAAACCATAGCCAGTAGAGAATTTGATGAAAATTCACGTTTGCGTTGCAGCATTATAAACAATGCAGTAAGCTCTGTCTAGATATACGTGGTATGAGTTTATTCATCATTCATCGCATTTCAACGACATGTATGAGTTGGAGCATTATGCAAAATGCCGATACCCTATCGAGTCTATGACGAAAGGAGGTTTATTATCATAAAAAGATATCAATATGGTTGTAAAGGATGTTTGTTCACAGCAAGATACAGGAGAAATCAAATACAGATCATCGATTTTCAACAATACGGTCTCGATGGCATCTTATAGAAGAGGTAGCATTATTTTTCTATAGGAGTCATTTACTAGACGGAGAGGTATTTGCAAGTATCATCTCCTTCAGCAATGGTAGCTACCAAACTAATATTAGTGAAAGCCAGAATATTTTATGAGCCAGTAGGCTATGCATAGGGCAATAAATAAATCCAGCACTCTCATATTACCAGATTCGTCAGTACAATGTTTGAATTCTCCACAATTAAAGATGACATAACGAGAAATGCAAGGAAAGGGTTGGCCTCATGGATATAATCGAATAAGGGCACCATCACAACCAAATGCGAACCTGGATAATGTTGAATAATAATACAAATGCAACCCCTATGGATGATTCGTGAATATGAACTTCCAAAAATGATGGCACTAATCTTACCTGACACTCATGAATTCACCATCTTCCAACAATTATTATTATAAGTAATCCTGCAGCTACCGTCGAAACATGATACAGCATTGAATAGGTATATTGTTATATCTTATGATTATGACGAAGATTCGAACAGAATTGTCCTGATTACCTGGCTGATCTAGGAATGAGTAGAGCTTCTTTCTATTGATTCGCTTCGCTGGATGCAATATCAGTCGCCCGATAATATTGATAAGACGAACAGTAAGTATTCTACCTTGAATAAGAAACCTCCCAACCGTTGATTACCTATCTCTCATTCCACATCGAGTCTAGTAAGAAACGGTCTCCTTTTGTTACACGAATACGTGAATCGAATCGACAACAATAGCTACTGCCTTCGATATTTCCAGCAGGGTGATTTGCCAGCTCTATCATGGCATCGGTGTTTCCTGTTTCTTTTGTTACCTATGTTGTGTTATTGCTGCGCGATGATGAATTGGGTGACAGCTTATGGGATTTATCAAACAAAGAACTGGTCTTAGATGAAGAGTACCTACAGAGACAGGAAATAGTCAGATATGTACAAATATAGGATGAGAGAGATAGAGAGGCAGAGGGATATCTTAGTTTATAATTCGCAGTCGGAAATACATCCCATGATATTATAGACAATACCGATACTACCCAACACCAGCAAATATTGCTTTATACAAGGAGGTGATATAACATATTCGATTGAAGAGGAGAAAGGAATGCTCTTAGTCGTCTCAACAAATAGTTTTTAATACCATTATTTTCGCTCCGCCCTGCTGTGCTTATGTGCTTAAAATACTCTTCACTAAATGACGTTGATAACACTTGTTACATAATATACTATTTTCGTCAACCTCGTATTGACGAGTAACTTTAATGTTCATGGAATCGTTCATTAATGACCCCTATTAATGATCAATTCGTTTATTAATGCACGATTGTTTTATAGGCAACCAAACATACACCGCGTGCATTCATTGTTTATGCTATAACTTACGGAATCTGCATTCAAATCTGAAATATGGATTTCATCGAAGATTTTCCTTTGAAGGGTTCGATTTCCAAGTTTCTGATATGATTTAAATCCCTGTTTTTTAACACAAGGAATTCATTTTCCATGTTGATCATTTCGACAAATGTCAAATGTCACTAATGTCAGTAACAAGGCTAGTGGGTGATTCTTAGCAGTTTCATTGCTGGAGAAATGAGGAATATAGTCGACGGAAAAATGTTGTAACCAACTTGTATATTGAAAGGCGATCGAACATATCTCGATCATTAATCGCCCTCATTACTACACTAGTTGGTTAAATATCTATTCTGCTTCAAAAATACAAAATGATAGTTTTACCTGAAAAAATAGAAATAACCATTCGATAACGCCAAACATTCCGCATTCGGTGTGCAAACGATATTTTTTCGGCAACTGCATTGAATCTAAAATGAGGATGAAGGAGTAAGTTTTTGTCTTCGTTGATTGAAATTTTTAAGATACTTATCTGACTTACCCAGAATTGACATATATTATCTGTGACATTGAAAAACATGTTAAAACTGAAGAGTGAGTACTTGAAAAGGAAAATAGTGAAGACTAAAATCCAGCAACCATCTTAGAACTGTGGAGATTGCGAGTTATGTAAGTCTCCGATAAAATTTTATCATAATACTGTATCGAAACTAATATGAATTCGTGAATAAAATCTCAAGATCCCAACATGATATAACAAACTGAATGTAGTTAGTTAGTTAGACCGGGCAAAATATAGGAAACCCCACGTTTGCATGTTTCATCAAACTCATCGATGGGCCAAAAAAAATTTCAGTCAATTTTAGCCTGGCTAGGTCTTTTTAAGGCAACTATCAATTTGATTTCTGATTTTCAACGTGCGAAATTAATCATTGAATGATCTGCATCCATTAATCCAATGGGTGAAGATAGACCTTACTCCAGATCCTCTACTGAATTAGTAGTTGGATTTTGTTTTTTGAGTAGAAAACTGAAATTTGACATAACATTCTGTTAATTCACCGCACAAGTATCTCTAGTAGGTAAAAAAAAATTAATGATTCATGTGGGTGAATATCTCCTTCTAGAAGATATAGTGGAAACTGAGAAATACTTCAACATTTTTCTAAAAACTGCTTTTCGAGACCATCCGAAATACTACACTGAGGGAAAAAAATTTGTAGCCGTTACTAAAAAATTAGTAACTACAGAAAAATGTTTTAGTACGATAGGGGACAGCAAGCATTAGTTGTTGCCATAACTAATTCTGTTTTTCTGGAAACGCCTATTTGCCTCTAATGGAAAGTTTAGTTGAGTCATCTACGACGTTGTTGTGGTAACTAATAAGCCTTTTTAAGGAATAATACCAAGTTCTATTTGTCACAATCAAGATGAATAGTTATGACAATTAGATTGTTAGTACTGTTTCAATATATGTTTGTTATCACAACAAATTATCTCAGTTGGGGCAATTACTCATTTCTTCTGACGTTAATAGTGAGTGTGTTGTTGCAAATCAAATATTTAATTGTGACTGAAATGGAATCTAGTTACTATTAAAAGTGATTTAGTAACGTTTGAAATATAATTTAGTTATTCTGACAATAGTTTTATATCAATTGAAATCAAGGCCCCATTCTAATAATAACAGATTGTATTCCATTTTCCTTCCAATTTCCAATGGAATCGTGAACAGGAATACACCACACACCGTAAGTGCCACAGGCCACAGCTCAGCAAGAAGAGAGGGAATTATAAATATACACCGTGTACACATGACGTCGGTTGGACGTTTCTCACCGTTGCCCGTCATAAACTGAACTGAATTGTGAATAGGTACCTAAACCTGATAACTAGTGACGCACAGATAACGATGGTAAACTGCGAATAATTATTTTGCCAACCAAATGCCAAATGGCTCAGCGCGAAGTGCAAAAAAACACAATACAGTGATTTGAAAACACACAGAGCAGTGAACCAGCAAGAACACGATGCTCCCGGCTACACTAAACAATTATTTTATTTATTTTGTCTAAACTCGACGACCGTGCGATCTATCCACTATCAAGATACAAGTTCAAATGATGAAACAGAAAGACAAACAGATGCAAGATGCAATTTTTGCAGGTGGGTCTCGAAGAGCCGCGAGGCGGTCCCGAACGACGCAGTACAACTAAAATTATTAGTTATGGCTAAACAATTTCTGCTATGAATAATAATAAACCTTTTACGATAAATGTGTCATCAGTTGTGGCAAATAGTCAGCTGTTGCTAGTAACCCCAGAATGAGGTTTTTTAACCCCAATATGACATTTTAATTGACTGAATAGACAACACTGTGATAATTCTGTCACAAATAGTATTTTTATTGATGACAAATAATTGGCGAAAAATAGAAAAGTCATTTGTAGGAAATAAGGATACGTTGTCATTGTTAATAAAATTCCAAATATTTTTAATTACCGGTACTAAAAAAATACCAACTAGACGTTTTAATTAACCAGTTTTTCTCAGTGTAGAAATTCACTTACATCTTTCTTCTGTACTCATTGGAGGTGATTTGAGTTTGCTATGATAGTTTCTCTCTCATTTTGTTGGATACTTGATGCAAATCTCAGGTATAGAAGAGGAAAATTTCTTGACAGAAGAACGATTATTAAAAAGGGTCTTTGATAAAAGATATGTCAGTATTCTTCCGAAATGACTAGTTTGTTTTGTACGGATAACGGAAAAAATGGTATTAAACAACCAAGAAAAACAACCCGTTATATTTGTTGCAGCCGGATAGCAATATCAATTTCATTCTCAATTCCGGTGAAACTCTTTCGGAAATGAAACGACAATGAATGGCGGCATGATGAATGGAAATAGAGACCGAATAAATAGGTTTTCTAGTATATGTTGCTTCCTTCATTATTTCATAAATAACCGAGGCAAAGGAATTGCTGCTGCAGCATTTTTCATTGTCAAAACAGGAAGGCGAGAAAAGCAACATAAATTTCGGAAATTCACCATCGGATGCAGCCCAAACAGAACACACGATCATAACTTCTTCTCATAACCGGTCTACCATGATTCTCAAGAAGAATTAATATGGTGGAAAAATCTTGTGAACGAATGTATATAGTACTTCGAGTCATTTTGATAATAGTAGGTTAGCTGATTTATATTTCATACTGATCAGATGAATACAGACAATAGTTTCACTCTGAGTTGAAGTGACGGCATTATGTCGAAATATGTAGTGGTCGTTTATTTATTTATCTATTTATTTATTTATTTATACATAATACATCCAACAGGCCGGAGCCCAATTACAGGAGTATATAATAATAATAGTTATAATAAGAATAATAATTACAATGAATCAATGTAGGTGATCAAATGTAAATATATAACTAGTTCGGAATAAGAGTGTACAATTGCTTTCTGAACTGGGTTGAATTTGAAAAAAATATATATATAGACGGTACATCATTTAGGCTTCTACACATAGATGAGATTGGACTATTGAGGTGATGTTGTGAATTTGGAACATAGATTCGGAAAGTCAGGTTTGATCTTGAAGTGTGGATAAAAGGGACTCCGAATCTATTTGATTATTCATTAATTTATATGCAAATGTCTGCTATTTCACGTCGTTTCTTCAAGCTAACGAATGCGAATTCTTCTAGTAGCAAATCGCAATCGCAGTGACGTTCAGGATAAATATTATATTTTTTGATAAACAAAAATTTTAGAAAAATTTTTTGTACTGTTTCCAATGCTTGTATGTGTTCAACTTGGCTTGGGTTCCATACCGCACTGCAGTATTCAAGCTTGCTACGTACAATGCAGTAGTAAATAGAACAAAGAGCTCTTAGATTCGTAAATTCTTCACAATTACTTATGAGGAAACCTAGAGCACTATTGGCATTGGATTCAATTTTTTCAATATGTAAATTGAATATTAATTTGCTGTCAAATATAACCCAGATCTGTACATTCGTTTACCCTGCGTAGTTTACCATCTTCGATGAAATATTCAAATAAAAATGTAGAAACTTTTCTAGAATAGCTCATGATTTTGCATTTCTCAATATTCAGGGGTAACTTATTTTCAGAACCCCATTTGAAAAGAAGATTCAGATCGTTTTGCAGACGCAAAAAATCTGCAATATCTATAATTTCTGTAAAAATTTTCATGTCATCTGCAAAAAGGAGTTTGCTTGATTCAATTGAA